TACATTTATATTTATTGTTTATTATTATTTATAAATAATATATTGTATATTTAAATTTTCTAGTAAGCCAAAATGCATTCTGTCCTCACAACAAATGGGAAGTTCAATTTTCTAAGCAATTTCCATCTAACAATTAGATATAGCAATTTAGATAACATAGTGCTTTGGGGCTGCTTGAAAAAATGGTGGCATTTGACTCCAAGAAGGGATTTGTAGAGGGTACAAGGTCCTTCACCTCCATGTTTCTTCACCTCCACCTGACTTGCACACAAGATAGAAGTGGTGTTTTTCCTCTTCCCAAGTCAATATCCTCCAATGCCAAACTCTCCACAGACTATTCATCTGTCTGAGCAAAATTCTGTCCACCAAAGACTGTGCCCAGTTTTATCTTTCTGAGTGAAGAAGGTAGATGAAAAACAATCAACCAAAATAAACCCAGCCCATTGTTAGACACCCAACTAAGATATGACTCCAGGCAGCATAAAAAAAGTTAAGTTGCAGAACAATTCACCTCTATCGTGTCCATTATTGTTCACATTGTCCATATCCTTATACAGCTTCATGCTCTCTGCACTAATTTGCAGCTTCAAGGAAGTGCACCAGCGTGCCCGCTAGGAAGGCAGATGTTGCCATGTCCAAAAGGGGTGCAAGTTCCAACTATAATGAGACCTGGATAAGGGCTAAATATGTTGGTATAGAAACCCCCCATGAGAGTTTGCAGAGCTTTGACAAACAGCAGTATGCTCAGAGGACAGCTAAAATGGGAATCAAGGAGTTATTATTCTCTAGTTTTATGGCTTTTGTTACATGCCTCTGCAGAGAGCACAGGGACTAACACTATCAGCCCTGTATCCTGGCTATTGGGTCCAGGTGCATATTGGATAAGTGAAGCCACTAACCCAGTCATGTCCTTCCTTGAACAAGCAGGTTGGGAGGAATGGAAGATGAGCAGAGCTCTCAGTACAAAATCCACCCACTTGACTAAGCACACCCTGCTAATCTCCCAATTCCCTCCCCAAGCAGTATCAGCCTTAAGTGGCAGATTTTAGTTTTGTTTCATCAATGACCTGTCCTTAAGACCTCTCTACAGGGAATTACATGATTTTGCCATCTTTTAAATTCTGTTTCACATGAGAATCTTGAGGAGCTTTGTGAACATTGATGGTAAATATTATTAAATACATTAGGCTCAGATAGAAAGGGATCTAGTAAGATGTCCAAGATTATGTAAGTTGCCTGTGGTTAAGCTGGCACCAGAAATGACCACATTGACCTAGACATGTACACAGCAGAGATCCTTTGACTGTGAGGAGCAGCCAACTTTGAAAGTCTATCTGATTTTTTTACTTCATCATCTTGTATTCCATATACCTGTTGTTCAGCTCTTCACTTCTATTGCTCACTTCATCCCTCTGAGAAAGAACAATAATTCAAGTATTCTTTTAATTTTTTTATCTAACAGCCAAATTTATATCTATTTCACTGCCATGAATGATCTCGAGAAGGAAGCAGAGAGAGTTTGAGGCTGGCTAAACTAACACAAAGCTAGGAGGAATGTATTTAGTCCTGCTTTTGGCTGACATACTTTTCAATCAGACACTCTATCTGCACTGTTCTACATGCATATATGAGGACATGCCTCCAGTACTTTTATTTAGTCCTGAAGCAGCTATAAAAATGTGCAGCTCATCACAGTAGTATTAGGGAAACCAAATCATTAAAGGAAAAAAATAAGCACAGAAGCGGGTCAATTTTTTTTTGTGAAACATAAGCCGATAAAAATCAAAGTAATGTTATTTCTTCAAGCCAATCTTTCTTGCTGTTCCAATTTTGCCATAAAATATTGCTCAGTATAAACTTTTTGCTGACCAGGCTAAGCATAAATATTTGAGAACACTAAGCCAACTGTCATGGCACTAACACAGGAATCTGGTGACAGCATCAGCATACTGCAGTATCAGAAGCAACATTTTACTTCCAACCTGATGGGCCATCAGGGTCTCCAAATCCATGTAAACATGCTCATGTCCTATGAAAGGGAACACTTTGCTTGTAGGGAGACCTCATGATCTATTTGTACCACAAATGTTATCTTCAACTAGATGATTAAATCAGCTGACTGCAGAGCTTTGGGGACCATGGTGATATAGAAGACCTCAGAGCAGTTGCATCACAGACTGTCTCAGGTATTCTCAGTGTTTGGATGAGCTCTGTGCTCTTATAAAAACTGCAGGCCAGGATCCAGAATCCATGAGGGCAAATGACAGATACATTTCAGAGAGTTCTCTAAAACAGGTAATTCTAAGACATTATATGTCTCATAGGTGGGAAGACAACAGCGCTCCTTTAAATAATCAGAAAATATGATGTTTCCTGTGTAAGCCCCAAACAATAAGCTTTTTTGTTGCTCTTCTTTTCCTTGGCTTTGCAAACACATTACATAGCAACTGGAAGGTGACATACAGAGGCCAGCCAAAAAATGCAAGCTCCATGTTTTGCTGCAGCGTCAACTCTTTTGGCCGTTGGGCTACTCAGTTCCCCAAGGAGTCAAGCAGTGATAATACCCAATTCCATGAGGAATAATATGCCAGTGTATTATACAATACATTGTAGCATATACACTTCGTGCATGGAAAACTGCTTGACTTTATACAGCCACTTTCTAGTAAACCTGTTATTGTGAATGATGATTTTCCATGTAAGATTAAATCTGAATATACTTATAATTTTGCCAGTATACAGGAACTGTCAGTTAAATAGCAAGATACAACAATAGAAATTCAGGAACTGTGCTGCAGATACAAAATTATACAAGCTAACTTTAATAACTTGTAAGTAATTAATACTTACAATTACTTATCAGCAAAGATTTTTTTTTTTTTTTTTTACATTTAAACCTAGCCTGCTTTAAAAATTTCAATGTTTCTTCCTTGGAGAACTGATCAAGCAGTGTAAATCTTAACTATCCTGATACCTCCTCCATTCCTTGATAGTATTTAAGCACTCTAGTTGATAATCAGAGAATGGCTGGTGTATTTGGAAGCTACCATACATTTTATACACTTGGCCAGTTCTGTATGGGGATCCTCCAGGGTGTTAAAGCTATCTTTTGCTATGATAAAAGGCTTAAATATAAGCAGCATGAAGAAGTCTAGAGCCTGTCCTGTAAGACAACTGTGGTTGCAACTGCACTATGGCAGGTATATTTTCCTTAGTAAATTATTCACAAACAAGAACTTAGTGGGTAAGAGCTGTAGACAGAGAAATCCATGACCTGCTGCTGGGCATTCCCTTTACCAAATTAAGAAAATAAACCTGTGATGACAGACCTGGAAAATGGGAGATCCCAAAAGACAGGAAAGGGTATGGACAGGCTAATAGAAGCTGGTTGTCTTGACTCTTTAGGTGTTCATCTGTGATTAGGAAAACTCCAACAGCTGCCAGGCTACACAGTGCACTGACTGATGCACTGGCAGAGTGCTGAAAGGAAGTGTGCACAATCTTGAGATCGCTGACACAGAAGAGTAAGAGGCTGCCTGTGAGCACAAGAGCTAAGGGTGGAATCAATAGTCTTGCAAACTTAACAGCTCAGAGACATCAAGAGCATGCAGCTCTACACTGAAGCATTTCAGAAATTATTTGTTACAGCCAGAAGGAAATGGATGCCACATTTTCAGAAAACAACAGAAGAGATGGTATCACTTCATTCTGTCCACATTTATTTTGTCATGGAGCTGATCCTCCATGCTAGGATGCTGGATGTCTCTGCAGCACTTTTAACCTTCACCAGCCAAGGAATTTCAGTTCTGCAGCCCCAGTGGCACCTGACCAACTTCATGGCCAGCATCAGGAAGAAAATGAACTTTTTTTTTTTTTTTAACATGGCAATGTCCTTAAAGAAATCAAAAGATCAGTGAAGAGTAAGCAGTTCTTCCCTTCAGATCATCATTCAAATCTGTCCATGTTTTAGGCAGAACTGATATAGTGCCTTGTGAAAAACTTTTCAGTTAGTCCATTAGTTCTCCCATTCAGAGCAAAAGTGCAATTCCGTCAAATATATCTGATCAGATGGTTTCCAGTAGGAAAAGGCTTAATATAATATCTGAAAGCAGTTAGGCACCCTGTATTCTACTAGCAAAGAGTAGTGGATCTGCAGTGGCTCTGTAGAAAACCTTGTTGGCAGATGATCAGAGATAATCAGAGAAAGACTGGATATTTTAAAAAATATTATATTCAAAAATCAAGGAGTTATTGTTTGACAATTTATTTCTTATGCTAATCCATACTTCAGTTAAATCAGACATTCAGAATAGCTGTTCAGGTATTGCATATTCTATCCTAACCACCTCTGCTAAGAGCCATATAACTCTTACGTCTTTTTTCACAGATGTTGGATGAGAGTGAGAAGCTGATTGTGATGGGTGCCTGACTTGCATCAATTTGCACAGCACGAGCTAGACAGGAAAAAAACAGATTGCAGTGCTTAGGATCATACACTGAAGGGTGAGTCTGCTTTCAAAAACATAAACCCAAAGGTATTTTTGGGTTTGGATTTTTTGTTTTGTTTTGTTTTGTTTTTAAAGAGGAAAACTGCATAGCACCTACAGAGCTAGAATGGGCTTGGCCCCAACCTGTGGTTCTGCACTGAAGATTACTTACACTTGCTGAATGAAATGCTCTTGATGCAAATATTTTTGCTGGCGCAATATATTATGACTCTATCACTCACCTTGAAAGAGGAGACTAAAAATGCTTTGATAAATGGTTTGAAACATTGCCCAGTTTCACTGGCTTTGTTCTTCTAAGTGTTTGTACCTCTTGCTTCAGCTGCAAAGTTATTTCATCATGTCCTAAAACACTGCTATGCAGAGAACTGCAGTATAACAAGCTATAAAGTTGGCCTAATCAGCCAGCTGGGAGAGTAGACTTAAGAGAAAGTGCTTTCTACCCTTTGGAGGCCAAACATTACAACACAGCACATTTACACAGCATGACCGTACCTTTACTTCCGAGAGACATGTTCGGTGCTATCTCAGGTTTTCTTTTTTCCTTCGTAGTGCAGGCTGGTAAAGCAAAGCCTTTCTTGCATTGTTCTCTTCTGATGGCAGTGATTTCCCACTCTGTACATCTGGATTCAAGAGCACCACTTTCAACCTCCTCTGAGACTTGGCTTCACCTGGTTCCCACACTTCTGTACAGTAGTGACTTCTGGGGCTAATTATCGTAATCAATCCCCTCAGTGAGTTCTCTCCAGCTACAGGTTAGCATGTTACCAGTCTCATACCAGCAAGGAGCTGCGACTTCTCTCCAAGTTCCTGCAACATGCTGGTGGCCACGGACTTATTCAATATGTTCAGTGGTGACCTCTCATCCACCTGTGGGATCAAAGATGTTGGGCAGATCCTTAGGTTTGAGCCCTCCATAGTGGTTTTGCACAGGACACATCATAAAACTGGATATTTTTCTTTCCTTGTTGTATCACTTTTTAAAAAAGCATCTTCATGCCCTTTGGTATGCTCCTCTGTACAGATGACACTCCTGCCTTGAATTGGGCTGAGGAGAACAAAATGCTGCATTATTCAGTGAGACCAGTACCAGATAAAAACACTAGAAAACAGACTGGGTATCTTTGCTGCCACAATCATATGTGAACAGGCTGGCAGCACGTCCTTACACAGCTGAGACTGAGCGGCATTTCCTCCCAAGGAAGACACTCCTAAATCAAGCTTAGAAACACCTGTGCAGAGCAGCATGAGGAGACTGAGTGCAGCCAGTGCCAAACCAGGATCTTTGCACTGACAGCGCATGGTTTGGACTATGCCTGCTGAAGTGCATGTAATTTAACACGGTCATTGATTTCTCCTCTCCTATGTAAAATTATTTTCTCGTGCCCCAGAGAATAGTAATCAAATAAATCCAAATTTTTCATTTCTTAGATGTCACATGTGAAGAACCTTTTGATGTAATAAAACTTTAAGTGTCTGAAAAAGTCTTCTCCAGTATCTACTGATTTAATCTATCCTATTTTCTGTTCAGTTTTGGTTTGGTTTTGTTTTTTTTTCTGGTTTGGAAACTGATTTTCCGTAGTTTTGGGAGGAACATATTTATTATAATTAGAGGTCTGCCAATGTGAAAAATTTCTTAACAATTTTTCTGAGTGTTAAAATCTGAAATACAAAGAAAGTTCACCAAGAAAAGTCTTAGTCTTCAAGCCTCTAAACACAAACAAGCTTAGCTGTAACCACATGGTTACCCTTTCCAGTTTCAATGGTATCTTTTTTCACTCTCTGAATGCACACAAATAAGTTCATAAATTAAAACAATCTGGAGTAAATTTCTGAAATTCCAAAGCAAGTTTGGCGAAACAAGGTTTGTCCTTGGAACAAAAATATCAGTTTAAAGCAAATGTGATGAGATCTGAACTTAAAACTCAGTTATCCTGGGGAGTCACACCCCAGAGGAATGCTGTGAACACTGGCTCCCAGTACATTAGTCAGCAGACATGAATTTCATTAAATCCACAGAGCTCCACACCCAGCACTGTGCTATTGTTCAGTCCAAGCCAAAACAGTAGAACAAAGCTATTATGTGGCATTATACAACTAACTGTTCAAGGTTTTTAAGTTAAATATATTAAACTCACAAAATGCTGACAGCAGAAATGAACATTAGGTATCACAGCTCAAGGAGGCAGGGTTAGATATAGGACACTGTCACCTTCCCAGTTTTCTCTCTCTGCTCACACTGCATGGCAGAGTGCCAGTTCTGGCCCTGTGCTTCCCCTGTCTGTCGTGCTCTGTCCTGACCACATCTACCTTGGAAGTAATTTTTGTGCCTTCCTTGAAAAAGCAGTTGATAGAAACTTCCTTGGTCCCACCACTAATGGTGTCACACCATTACGCGGCAGTAAAGCCAGGGGGAAGATCTGTAGTGAAATACAAGAACAGCTCTGGTTTCTTGCCTTTCTCTTTCATTCTAGTTTTCATCTACAGCAAAATGAATGACTGTTTCCAATTTAAGACTGGAGGAGGTGTGAAGGTGAAATAGAAGACTAGCCTGGATATAAAAGAAAATACCTGGTGAAAGAAATATACAGGTACTGCCTCCAGCACTGCAGCTGTAAACACTACTTCCATTAGTTCCCCAGAATGAAGAAGGAATGGAGCAACCTAGAAGAAAGTTGCTACATTGGCAGGCTGTGGAAAGGAAATTGTTAGTGCTTTTCACCCTAACAGTGAAGCTGAGAAATTACTTTCTGTGTGAGGTCTTGAAAATTTTCTTCAGGTAAGAACTTCCACTGTGTGAATGGGAATACATTAATACATCAGTGTATTAAATAATATAAAATTGATTACAAATCTCCAGTTCAAAATATAACTTTCTGATACTTTAGGTTCATACCACTCTAAACTAGGGTTTTCAGGAGATATGACCTACAACTATTTCTGAGGCTATACAGTGTCTCAGTTAGTTATGTGAAAAAGAAGACTGCTTCCATCTGCAGTTATGACTCAGTACATCAAGAAAGATGCTTTTATTATAAAAAAATAGATTTTATTACTTTATCATAAATACCAAAAACAGCAGTCTAGGGACCCTTGGCTGTCTGTAGCCTTTCATTCTTTACCAAGACTAGGCACAGGCACAGAGATGTGCTGTCAGGGAGATGCTCACTGCAGCATGTCCTAATGTATGTTTCTGTATACCTGCCTAAAGCAATAGCTCCTTGTCACAGAAATATAAGAAGTCTTCCTGAGACACTATTTTGTTCATGTGAATCTTCTAGTTTAAAAGCAATTTAAAAAGGAAGCTCTAAAGAAGGCCATAAGCTGACTTTTATATTTCACAGCATGCATCTATTGATGCAAACTGAGAAGCATTTGCTTTGTCCCAGTCTGAGTACACACACACACACAGCAGTCTGTGCTTCTCACGGTGACTTTCACCACTGAGAGAGATGAAATTTACTTCTTTTCAGAAGCAGTCATACATCCCTTGAAACCTGTCCTCCAAGGGACACAGATATTGGGACATGAGCTGAGGCATTGCAGTATGTTTGGATTACAGCTGACAGGCTGTAATCTAACTGGTGTTTGGCAAAAAGAAAAAATAAAGCAATCACTAAGGAATGTGGAAAGAAGGCCACAGTGAACAGAGTTAAATGTAATTTTTTTGTCTGGTTTTACCACTCTGATCTTGCTACTTCATCTAGGTTATAAGAAAATTTTAGTGATGGCTGAGGAAGCACAAGAATCCTTTGTCCTCAGCAATGGGTGACAGGGAATATCTTTCCTTCTAGAGTTCATAAGACATATTTGCTCTCATGCAGGAAACATTTTCCTTGTCTAATTCCAGCATTTAGGCCTAATATTAAACCTCCAGTCATAAAAATTTTCCCATTAACTTTGGTAAATTTTTACAGCTGAGTAAGGACTATGAGTTTTGGCCCTAAGCTAGGAAAAAGAGTATTAAAGTGTCATACACACATAAATAATGGCATCATGCTCAGAAATACAAACAGAAACAAATACAACATCCCACTGTTCAACTCTTCTGGGGGCTGATATAGGCCACTTACTCCCTAGTTGTCCTTGCCCATTCCCTTTCCAGGATTAAACCACAGCTGTTGGAGACAGCTCCCCCACTCCATTCCATGCCATTTCTTGACACTTACATATGGTTTGAAAACAAAACATGAAAGAAAACATAACATACCCTAAAAAAAAGTCTTTTTCTGAAGATCATAACTTCGTTTGCTCAGAAAATAGGGCAATTTGAGCAGTCTCCTTAGAAGAAAAATAAGAGGAGATGACTCTCTGTGTTGTCTTTCAGGAAAGTGTTTTAAATCCTGCTGATGTTTTGGACTGCATTCAGCCCTTCCCTCAATTCCCCAGCCACTGCCTGCCTTTGTCTGGGAGGTTGGTTAAGAAAAACGAATAGTAAGGAAACAAAAACCTCCAGCTAAAAATGGTACTCACAGGTCTTTCCTGGCCTATGGCCTGCTGATACTTTCACCTTATCACGTTGTCTAGTACAGCATGAAATTGGGAAAAATAGCATCCATTAATATAATGTGTATTAAACCCTGACTGGCAGGTCAGAAGGACAATAGAAGAAGGACAAAAATCTCTGAGCTGGTAAGGGCATTCTATAAGATGTGTCTCATTCTCTCTGCACCTGTGAGCTTGGATCATCTTAAAAGCAGCCAGATGGGGAATATGGAACCTGTTGTCAGCCTGTTCATGTTAATATTTGTTTTGTCAATGCAGTCAGGCCAGCTTCTTTCTCCCACTCTGCAATTTTTTTTTTACAGAGCATTCCTATTTTTGCACATTGGTTATCACACTATTATATATGGTGCTAATTCTGGGCCTGGAAGTAGCATAACCTGGAAAACTCTTTACTTTGCTTTGTCCAATGTGCCCTCTTCACTGAGAGCCTGATGCACACAGCCTGGTCCAATAACACCATCTCAAACTGCAGAGACACTCAGTTAATCCTGCTTCTTCTAGTTCACACACAGTTTGCTTTCACTCTGCTGGACTTTATTATATTCTGGGTTAAGTGTGACACAACTCTACAATTTACTTTCAGCCTACTTTTTTTAAGAAAAGAGGTTTACGTGAAGGTTCATTTTCAGACAAAATTGGTGGAATAACACACCCAGACATAATGATGCTCACACTTTCTAAAAATCATCATCTGAGTAGACAATAGCAGCTCAAAGAAATGTTCCCACCTAAACAGAGACAGGCCAAACTGCTGAACCATGTGGCACAAGTCATCTCTCCTCCTCTGTTGGGATATCACAGTGACTATGAATTGTGCCAGAGTCATTCTGGGGAGGAAAGAAACAATGCTCTGAGAAAACTACCTTTGTGAGTTCAGTTGATCACAGAAACATTTATTCTGCTTGTGATTTTTTTTCCTCTGATGCATTTCCAAATCTCACATTTGCAGCTTCTGCATGAGATGCATTCTTGTTTTATCTGTCTCTGGCTAGTATCTCTCCTTCTGTCTTTCCTGTGCTTCTGTAGACTTTATAGACTCCTTTATCTGTCACTTCACCTCTAGAGTCAACAAAATCCAGGGTCTGGCAACCTGTTTTGGCATACACCAGATCAAATGGAACAGGAGCACAAGCACTCTTTTTCAAGTTGTCAAAGGCACTAGAGGGGTTAGAAGAAGGGGTAGAGCAGTCTGATGTATGAGAAGCTAATGGAATAAAGTAAACCACAAAATCACTGCTGTCAGATATCCTGGGACCATTACACTGTCCAACTTCAATAAACACACAACAGGAAGATGTAAGATGACCCAAAAGGGAGGATGCAGAGAATTTGGCCATTGATGCTCCCCCTTTCTCCTGCCACCATCCACAATAAAACCCAAAACCAAACCAGACTGGCTCTGTAGATTCTGCTTTTACCTTATTTCTATTTCTAGAATAGAAAGCAATAAATCCAGAGTGTTCTAGGCAGCATTAGTGCACAGGCATTCTCAGTGTGAGAGCAGTGGATATCGTGCTGCAGTGACACTTGTTTGAAGCAGGATGGACTTTGATCAGTACTAGAGCATTAGCTTAGTCTTTCTGAGTCCTTTCCTTGCTGGGAATTGTATCAAGTCAGGAGTGAGATGCCCATGGGTGTGAGCCAGGGAAGGGGCAGGTGGAACCAGACCAGACCCCAGTGGGGCCAAGGGGACTGAATTGGTACCTCAGTGAGGAACAAGGCATTACCAGTTTTCCCAAAGACCTGCCTGCACAGCTAAGCAACACAAGGCCCGTTTTTAACATTTATATGTTATCAATTATGATGGCACTACATTATACTGTGTTCAAGTATACCAAGGAGGAAAAGCATTTTTCAGCCAGCATGGTTATACTAGTAGAAAATCTGTGAAAAGTATAAACTCATTAAATTAATTTTAAGGACTGGGCTGATTAATACTTCATTAGTAAATGCTGGTAATATTGGCATTTTGCCTTGGTTTTGTATGTAGTAGTAGAAAAGGGACAAGGCAGTGTCCTTTAATATGTATTAGAATCTTCCCATTTTTGATCTATGCGACTTGGAACAAGTGATTTTTTTCCCCTTGATATTATTTTCCTTCCGTACACAAGTTATCTCTCGTGTAAGTTACATTTCCTCAGTGCCCTCAAATGGTAAAACCTTGACAATCATACATGCCGTAAGGGAATGTAGCAGCTGTTCCTTCTGACGGAAAGGACTGTTTTTTAAAGATTTCTTCTTTCCATTTTTTATCGCGCCCCGCAGACCGAAGTTACCCCGGCCGCGCCCCCGCCGCCCCCTCACGGGCCCGCGCGCGCACACCGGCGGCAGTGCGCGTGCGCGGCCGAGGGCCCGCC